ACCAAGGTGACATCACGGGTGGAGTAGCATAAGACAACAGCAAGGCGCAGCTGTGCGTGGGTCAATCTTGTATTAGTTCAACCACGATAATAACTTTCCCAGTAACTTGCACAACCGTCGCGTTGTAATACTCATTGTATGAGTCCTCCGACTTGACGGTCGAAGTATTAGCCCTATATCTGTCTGTACCTCTGTAATGAATCTGTAACGTAACCAACCCGCATCAATATAAGTCTACAATGGAAATTTAAAACTAAACTGTAAAAATTATGAAACTATACTACTATAAATACTCGCTGGATAATCTTGATAAATCGTTCCCCTCTGGATATACCAAGTAGAATGTGTGAAGGAGCTGAAAGATATTAGGACTGTATGGTGTAATGTTGCCTTCACATACAATGTTTTTCTACATATTTTGTGAAAAACTGCACATAGGTTCATGACATGAGATGTCGATACATCAAACTCTTGTTGGGCTAATTCGTCTGGTGACGCATCAATGCCTGTAAGCTAATTCCAGCGAACTGTCGTGGCATGCAGCGGCGCTTCAGCAAGAGAAACCTGGAATGGAAGAGAGATCAGGGCGTGTCACGTAAAATACACACGAATGATTTTAAACCCACCGGTATATATCACTTATTGAATAACAATTTTTGAGCTTATCTCATTTCAATTTTTTTCAGTCGCTTGGTTTACAGGAAAATTGGCACTGAAGCATTACCTCCCCTACCAAAATTTTGGGGGTGGTTAGCTTTTGAATTAAATACGCCTCTAGATCGTCCAGCGCGTAAATTAGCGGCTCTATGTCCGCTTTACGCTCTGGCGGTACGAGCGTAATAAGTGTCTGAGTAGAATGCGGTCAAAAAGTACTGAAACTGTTTGCGTAAGCAAAAGGCATTCAAATTAAGCAGATTGAAAATAACGTCACAACCGCATGATAATGTACGCGTTAAGCATGAGTGTTAAAAGATTTCTTCATTAATTGCATTTTGTACCGCTTTAATGTATTATCTTCTATGTTTTTTTAATCTGCGAGTTGAGACGGGAATATGCAAAAGGCAACGTAGGTAATGAAACCCCCTTCCTCCCACTCCCCAAAAAGAGAGGGGCGGAGGAGGGGTCATTTTCTTTTAGCCCGCATGCAGACTCGGACGTTTCTGCCCTAGAAGGCATTAGGTGTCTAATGCATGCTACCCTCGGACGCCCTACAACCGTCAGGGAATTTATCACATTCTAATCAGGTGCTTATTTCGCTCGGAGAAAGCGGTGCTTATTTCGCAGCGCGTAAAGCGGACATAGAGCCACTGATTTACTTACTGGGTGACCGTACTGAGTCCCTGCAACAGAAGCTGACAAGACCGAAAATTTATCATAAGGTAGTTTCTACTGCTGCAAAGTACAGCCATCAACATGTACCCTGATTGCTGATGATCCGCGGGCGGCAGAGAAGAAATATGATGAACACTCACCCTAGCAACGCGACAACCACGACAACCAGCACCACCACGCCTGTGATAACGCTGGGAATGACTCCTGGTGGCAGCGGTGTAGAGGTTCTGGTGATGTTGAGCGCTCCTGGTGATGGTGATGTAGAGGCTCCTGGTGATGGTGATGTTGAGGCTCCTGGTGATGGTGATGTTGAGGCTCCTGGTGATGGTGATGTAGAGGCTTCTGGTGATGGTGATGTAGAAACTCGTGGTGATGTAGCGGATTCTGTTCAACCGATAAGAATTAGAAGTCAATAGTAAATCTGAGAGAATCTTCCATAGAAATGAATTTTACATCGACATGAACTATTCAACAACATGAACCATCGTCTAACATTAATGATCAATCAGTCACATCCGACCGAGTGCTCCCCTAAAAACCCGGCACTTAACCTTGAGCGAGTGTCAAGTTGGAAGGTAAATCATTGAGATAGGTATATAATTGATTTGAATTTTTAAAATAATTTCCGAAACCTGGGTGCTCATCTTTAGTAAGCAACACAAAACCACATGGTATATTATACGTTTAATTGCACAGTTATTGAAACTCGGCAAAAGGCATATCGCAAGCAATGTAATCACTGTGAAGATTCTTCATATCGATGTAAGGTAAAACGTATGGAATCAATAAATTTGAATTCGTTCTAATGGTTTATCTTGGTAATATGTGATAGTTTCGGGATAAGTAAATTAAACTACAGTTATTATGTCTTCTACGTGTGTAAAAACTAGCAACAGGATTCTGATTCTTTTCCGTAGCAAAGCATCAAAAATGAACAAATTTTTCTTCTGAGGATATATGTCACTTGAGCCAGGGACAGAAGCAGTTTTCTGAACGTATTAGATTGCACATTTATGTTGGCGTCTTTCAGGTAAGTTTTCATGATATTCATCAATATTGTCATGAACCGTTGAAAAAAAATAAATGATTTCAGATTTATTATATATCTTATCGAATGTATTCTTCAACAACTTATATTTAGGCAGATGAGTTGACTGGCTATAAAGGAACATAATGTTGAAATCAACAAATTTCTCCAACTGCAACTCCAGTAGCAATGACGTTTTTGCAGTTCCATCTCCCAATTGTGAGACCCCTAACACTTAGAGAAGGAAAAATTGTTCTTCTACTTCTCCTTATTTTTTTATCGTCTTTACACTTATAGAGCATTTCTCAAAGTTTTATTTCTAAAATCCGTATCTATGTTTGTTTTAATATATTCACTTAAATTAAAGCCTATTTATTTAGGAGAAGAGATATTTAATTTCATAGCGGATTTTTTCAACATAATTCTGCATAGATTGATGTTGCATGTGTAATTATCGTGTAGATTATGGTTTGTGTATTGGAGCACAAGCGGCGCATACATGTTTGAGCGCACGTAATGTAAGTTCACCTTTGATTCTTACACTCATCGGATTGATTCGATTTTCAGTTAACAACTCCCACAACATTAATTCTGGTGTTTCTTCTTCCGGTGTATTAAGCGACCTCTGGGAATCTATACAAAAATTTATGTTGTCGTCACGCTCGATCGGAATTGCCGATCGAGCGTGACGCTGATGTTCATCAGCGATTCGCGCATGACACGCATAAGATGACTGTATGGCCGCCATGCAGCCTTATACATTCTTAGCATGGAAGTTTACTCAAGGCATCGAACGGCTTGTTTACTATGCTTATTCTTTAATGCCTAACAACTGGCTGGAATTACAGTTTAGTATAAAAATAACATAGGTGCATCATAGCTTCTTTAATTTATTCTTCAGACTCCTACACACCCACTCTCCTGTCGGTGACCAGGAGCGTGGGCGAGGATTTCATCTGGGAGAATATCCCTGAAGGTGCGATTGTAAATAGAGTTCCCGCAGTGGCGGGTGAAGTGACGAAAGTTTTGAGGAGCCTGAAGGAGCAAGACGCTGGCCTCTACAGTTTTGAAGTAAAAAACGCCGCTGATGCATTCAAGTATTTCGCCAGACTCGTCGTGAGAAGTGAGTTATAACTAGAGCTCGTGACTACAGATAAGCTTTTATTTGAATCAATAGATATATATTGAGGTCTTCCACGCCACCTTGCAGGTTTCCCCAAATTTCCGTGACAGTGATAAGATAATTCGAGACATTGTATCAGATTTATTGATGGCGAGTTTCTGCACATAAAGACAAGACTATATATTTTGTAGTACAAGATAAAAAGGTTAAAGTGGTATTCAAACATTATGATGCAAGACAATGACATACAAAGGAAAGACAGAATAAATGAGCTCACCGAATTAATGTAGAAACCGGGGTAAATTTTAAATAACATCATAGCGCAACGAATAGCGAATTCTAAGATTTTGTACGGTCGTGGGTCTATAAACGTTCTATTTACCGAATGACATTGCTCCAGACTACATCTCTTATTACACAGCATTAAGGGATAGAATCAGTTGTAAGCGAGAAGCCTCAACAACTGCAGAACTAATAAACATGTACCTGTCAATCGCAACAAGATGCAGCCATCACTATCATTAATATCACCAATCATCACTAGCCTATCACTAACACCAGACATCGCAAGCAACAGCAAACATTTGCACGAGACATCACCAGCACTTCCCATTACTAGCATGAGAAATCTCACACATGATCTATCATTAATTTCAGTCATGACAGGAAGCAGCTATCACTATCATCTGACATCACTACTATCAACCATAACAAACGGAAGCCATCATTAGCACCGGACATCAATTATATATGCCACCATTAACATCAGCCTTCACTAGCACCAGCAATCGCTGATGCCAACCATAACTAGCCCCACTAACTAGCTTCATTCAGGTTGCCCCAAGCATCTATATGGTGACGACTGTGCCAAGTGGTGCCCTGACTGCCTCAACTCTGGGGAATGTCACCTTCGCTCTGGGGAATGCGTCTGTGCCCCCGGCACCTATGGGGACCGCTGCCAGCACTGTGAGTGTTGTCACCGAGTGCGTCACTTTATTGTTTGATATCAGGAAGTGATCTCTTAGAGAGATAACTCTAGGAAATAATTAGAGTTACTCCTAGAGAGGTAATTAGAATTATCTCTTTGAGGGATAATTAGAGTTATCTCCTAGAGAGATGATTATAGTTATCTTCTAGAGAGATAATTCGAGTTATCTCCCAGAGAGAGAATTAGAGTTATATATCCTAGAGAGATCACTTCGAAGGGTTAGGACAAACCCTTAAAACTTTATATCCTCGAAGCGACACTTCGAGGGTTAGCGCAAACTGTGAGCGGTTGCTACGAATAAAAAGTAGCTAAATTACGCACCAGAGAGGTTCTTCTAAAATCACGGTCACTCAAGTACGGTCTGCAGTGGGAACACATAAGCATTACTTTCGAGACAAATTTACTTTTTGCATATCCTTATATGGAACTTCCTCGTTCATATTTGTGGACAACATTAAGTTAATAGCGGAAGTGCGTATAAATGTGAGTAGAGTTGGGAGGGAAGTTAGTCAGTCAGAATATCAGTAAAGTTACTCACGTCGCCAGTTTGCACAGCCCTCCTCGTCGCTCTTGTCGTAGTAGTCGCCGCAGTCTTTGTCTCCGTCGCACCGCAACTTCTCGTCTATGCAGCGGCCGGTCATAACGCACTTGAACAGATCAGAGGGGCACACGCCTGCAATCGACAGTGATTCTGTATATTATTTGTCTTAAGACCACAACTGAGGTGTGAACACAAAAGATAAATCTTAGGAGATGGCGGAATAATCTATTGTTATGCAGACATGGATTTTATGCTATGTTATCAGTCTTCCTTACTATATACTGCTCCTTCCGGATATTCAGCTCTATTATGTTCTATGATCTGGATTTCTGAAGTAATTTAGAAATGGTCTTGAATTTGCAATACATGATGTTAAATTAATGCTCATACAATTATTTCAGCGGGTTTTACTGCACATGTGGTACTTAAGTATGCGGAATATTCGCACCTGATTAAAATCGAATTAACGTGAAAGAATTGGGGAGAAGCGAGGTTCATTAGCCGGGCTGGAGTTGAGCTCACCACAGAGTGAGTGTTTAGTTATACAAAGATTTATTGAAATAGATATTACCGAGAGAATATGGTGCCTCTTGGTGTATCAGATATATGTTTTAGCCTATAACTGATGACAATTGTGTCTCTCGGCGACAGGCCTACGGCCTAATAAACGCTTAAACTGTTATATCAATACACTGTTATAAAATCGACCGTAAAACAACGTTCCTACCGGCATTACAGTGGCCGGTTATTTACCGTTAAATTAAACGACGGGAACGTTTTCCCGCACCAAAACGGCACGCCCGTTTTGTACTTTACGGCTTCGTACAGTTTCTTTCATACAGATTATTATAATCCGACATAGCCACACATAAGAAGACATAGCGAGACATAAGGAGACATAAGAAGACATAGCGAGGCATAAGGAGACATAACGAGACATAGCGAGACATAAGGAGACATTGCGAAACGTAAGGAGACATAGCGAGACATATGGAGACATAAGGAGAAATAGCGAAACATTAGGAGACATAGCAAAACATAAGGAGACACAGCGAAACATAAGGAGACATAGCAAGACATAGCGAGACATAAGGAGATACAGCGAGACATAAGGAGATACAGCGAGACTTTGTCAAGTGACCCTGCCGACGCACCACATGGGCGGACTGCTGTACGTTGTCATCACGCGTGCTGACTTTCAAAGTCTGCCAGTGGACATCATAGAGATCGCAATGTCTGATCACCGACTACTTCGGTGGACGGTGCCATGTGTGCGCCCGGTGCCAGCGTACAATACCGTTACCTGTCACCCGTGGCGCAGTCTCGATTGCGATGCCTTACGCGAAAAGCAGCAGTCATCCCGACTACGTCAGCTTGCCTCGTGGTTGGCACTATCAGTCAACGACCTTGTGCAACTATACAACACCGAGATGACCTGTGCACTCGATGACCTCATTCCTGCACGCACAGTTCGGGTACTCCAACGAGTCTCCGACCCATGGTTCAATGATGAATGTTGAGTCTCGAAGCGGAGGATTCGACTGCTCCAGCAGGCTGTATACCGGGCGAACAGACGCGGCAATCCTGCTGCTGCCGCTGCTGCCGCTGCTGTGGCCTCCGCCTGGCGAGATGCGCGGCGCAATTATGTCGACATTCTTCGTTCTAAAAGAGAGTCATTTTAGCGCCAGAGTCGACGCGCAGCGCAGCGATCCTCGAGCACTGTGGCGTTCGCTGGATAAACTCATGGGAAGTGGTCATACAGAGGCGTCGGGCGGCCTAAGCGTGGAGGAATCTATGCGGTTTTTGAAAACAAAATTTCTGCTGTGCGCGCAAAGTCGGCCGATGCTGCGCCAGCAGCATTTGCCTCGTAAACGTTCGACTGCGTGCTCCAAGAATTCACTCGCCTCTTAGCTGACGACGTCATATCGCTGCAGTGCGCGCGCTGCCCAACATGCAGTGTGCAAGTAATGCGCTGCCTAAGTTGTTCCTTAATGGGAATTTTGTAACCCTGCCACCTTTTCTGGTCGATCTTTTCAATCGCTGCCTCACAGACGGTGTTGTTTTGATGAACTTCAAATCCGCTTACATTACGCCTCTAATAAAGAAACCAGACCTTGACGCTTCCAATCCCAAATCATATCGACTCATCTCCAACCTGTCGATTTTGTCGAAACTCCTGGAATGCGTTGTGGCGCGACAGCTGAACATCCACCTTCAGCAGTCCGATCTCATGCTTCGCCTCCAGTCTGCATACCGTCATCGCTACTCGACGGAAACCGCTGTGCAAAAGGTGCTTTCAGACATTCTGCGCACAATAGACCGTGGCGACATTGCGGCACTAGCTTTACTCGACCTGTCAGCCGCGTTTGACAAGGTCGACCACGCCACTTTATTGCATCGAATTGACGTATCATTCGTCCTGCACGGCAGTGCTGATGTGGTTCGAGTCCTATCTCAGCAATAGATTCAAATGCGTTTGACGGAGGAACTCTTCTACTACGCCATTATTGGTTACATGCGGCGTACCACAGGGGTCAGTTCTCGGCCTGATCCTCTTCCTGTTACAAAATGTCGATGAATTGCATATAATCGATTCACATAGTTTGATCCGCATATGTTCGCCGACGAATGTGTGCCTGCATGGACGCTGTCTCAGATTGGATTCGCTCAAACCGGCTCCAGCTCAGTGCATCAAAAACCGACTTTATTTGGTTTGCGATTTTTCCAGTCGGCAATGACCAGTAACATTGCCAAAGTCACCACCGCTTGCTTTGGCGCTCTGCGACAAATACGTAGCATCAGCCGCTGTCTTTCGAGGCCGGTCCTTGATTCCCTTGTGGTGGCGCTCGTTCGGACCAGATTGGACTATGGTAATGCCACACTTTGTGGACTTTCGACCACGGCACTTAATTAACAAACTGCAATCCGTAATGAAAGCTGCTGCTCGATTCGTGTGCAATAAGCGAAAATTTGACAATGTTACGCCGATATTGGGCGATCTTTACTGGCTGCGCATTCAGCAGCGCACGCAGTTCAAGGTCGCTGTTCTAAAGTTCCGATGCCTCCAGGTCTGGACTCTGGCGCCTCCATATTTCATAGAAGGATCTATGAAATATGAAAAAAGGATGCAGCGCGTGTCGGATCTACCTTCTAGAAGACGATTGCGCTCGTCATCAGCAGCGGACCTCGTCGTACCATCTACACGTCTATCTACCGTTGGCGACAGAACGTTCCCGGTCGCAGCCGCCAGAGCCCGGAACAGTCTGCCGCCTTCCTTAACTTTGGGCTCCTTCGTTGCAGGTGTTCTTCGATGCCTAAAGACGGAACTATTTAGTAGAGCCTATGAATCTACTGCTTAGCCATTTTATCCATTCCCATCCTTTCTTGTGTCTATTTATTTTTCGCAGGTTATTATTCTTATGTGTGACGCGCCCTCGAAGTTCGTTTGAACCAGACGCCTCGACAAATTTTTCATAGAATAATAATAATAATATTAACAGTAATGCGAGTTCTTGGAATGGATTCTCCCAATGACTCGTGACAAAAGACTCACTGACCCACTCATATTAATAATTGAGCCACCATAATTATTTAATACCTACGCCGACTCATGATGTGATGACAAACATACTTACTGACTCATTAAATTAGCAGTGTACTCACAATGCTTCTCATCACTCCAGTCCCCGCAGTTGTTCCTGCCGTCGCATTCCCAACGCTTCTGGATGCATCTGCCGTTGCTGCAAACGAAGTGGTCGCCGGTGCAGCCTGTGAGGATCAAAGAATCCGTGGAAGTCAGGCTAACTAATTGAAATCATTCAAGCCGAGCGAGTTGCGGCAATGTTAAAATCCTATTATTTTATTTTTGAGTTATCGTGTGATTTCAACAAAATAGTGTCAGACTAATTCAATTTTAAAAATTCATATTATTATATTATTTATATTAGTAGAAAGAAAGTCATATTGCCTACTTCATGAACACTTCTTCCTCAAAACACCTCCCCCATCTTCAAATCCATGTTACATGCAGGGTAATTGGGTCTCCTGAGCGCGAGGCACAAAAAAAAAAGAAGGTGGAGAAGTAAGAATATGAAGTATGTGTTTTCTAAAACACGTGTATCCGAGTTGGAAATGTCTGCAGAGTCCCTTACAAAAAATCATTGAGAATGTGGGCCCAAAATGGCATGTGCTCAGACGGGATAAAACTTTCTGTGCAAGGATAATCTAGGCAGCAAAATAGGTTGAACTCGACAACTCTGATTTGGTCATAGCATGCCTTTGGCGAAACATTGTAAACAATTCGGTCTTGAAACGATATGGTTGTACGTAAGCGAGGAATAATTCATTTATATTCAAGAAAATAATTGAATATTAAGGCTTGTAGTGAAAGCCGCCCGAACTCCGCAGCGAGCTTGCTCGAGTTTGCTGCCGAGACGCGTGAGGGCTGGTTATCTTACGTCTGGCCGACGCGATGAAAGGCGACGAATTTTTAACTTTTGCTGTTAAGATCTATCAAGATCTATCAAACTACAGAGACAGTAATTCAGACTATACAGAGACCAAAAGTTTACTCATAATGACAGTGATACTGGCTGTCACTTGCACAGCAACAGCGAAGTATCTGTCTTCATGAGGATGTAGACAGAAGGGGAAGCTGTGAAACCGCAGTAGGGGTTTTTACAGGATAGGGAGGGGGGGAAGTGAAAATATTGTGAGGCTCTTTCTTCTCCAATGGTCAAGGCTCGATCGATTCCTCACCACTATTAGGTGGTTTAGCATTTTGCACGCTGGATTATTCACTGTTATTACATGGCTCAGCGTTCTGCACGCTCGACTCTTCGCTGTTATTAGGTGGCTCAGCATTTTGCACGCTGGACTCTTCACTGCTATGAGATGACTCAGCGTTCTGCACGCTCGATTTCTCTGACTTTTCTATCACTAAATCACTCAAATCGTCTTCATCGCTTGTAAAATTCACTATTGGACTTGTATTGTTGACGCCATTCTCGACTGGAGCCGATGCTTGTAGAACCTTCAGGAGATTTTTTTGTTTTCTGCGGAGCAAACAACATCGATATAACATTGAAGCTAAATATAAACATGGGCTGTACTTCATCGCAATCATTGGCATTCACTACTGACATTATCAAAGGTTACTACAGTATAGCATATAAAGAACTTTCAACTTCTATTTTAGAGACCTCTGACTGATGAGATCCAAATCTTGTTATATCCATGATAAGTAACGACTGTAATAAATCTTACCTCCATCTTTTCAACTGGAGACCTTTATTGATTCGTGGTGATGAAAGGCACAATTTTTTCGATTACTTGTGAGAGAAACGCATGTTGTCGCCAGCGTTCTAGCACACGAACTAACAATGGAAGGCTGTAATTTAAACGTGCCAGGAGGGTAAGGAGGGTACGGAGGCTGTCCCTCTACCCCCTAGGAAGAGGGTAGACGATCGACTATGCCACATCACGCGAGCTGATTTATGACCGCTAAGGAAAGTGTCGCTACAACGTACGACACTTTGACATGCTCGGGGCCAGGTCCCAAAGAAAAAGGGAAATGTACGATTCAGGAGTGATGAAAAAGTATTTTGTTAGGTAATTTCTACAAAATAGAGGGTGATTCAAATATGACTTTAATACCGATCAATAGAGAATAAATATTACAACTTCCTCATGACTCAAAAATTTAGGTAAGTCGCATCTCTCGCAAGTATAATGAACATCGATGTTCAACATTTTACTCTATCATAACTGATTTTACAAAAAAATTACATATATTTTGTAACTGTCGGGAAATTTTAAATAAATAGCTGAGTGAGCATGAAAAAATTCAGATTTATATTTCATTTACGAGCGGAGTTATAATGACTATACGTAGTGATAGATTCAGCCAAGCCTGCCTGAGGGCTCGCGGCTCTCAAGCAGGGCCTTAAGAGCAAAAACAAATCCTCATATTAACTCGAAATAAAAGACAGCATAATTGCACAGAAATACTCGAATCATCCGGCAACTCACAGTCGCGTTCGCCGCTGTCGTCGCTGTCCTTGCCACAGCCGTTGTGTCCGTCGCACCGATACTTCTCGTCTATGCAGAGGCCGGTGTTGACGCATTTGAACTGATCAGATCGGCACACGCCTGCAATCACAAGTAATTCGGTAAAGAATTTTCAGGTCCTAATCAATAAATTCATATGCGTGCATGCAGGATCTTGTGGTCGCTAAGTAATTGTTCTGCTTAATTAATGTGGCATTGAATGAGCTGATAACTTCGTAATTATCTCAATAAAATTGATTTATCTCGAAGAAAGGATGAAGATTTTGGGGAGTCTTCAACAGTTAATAGCGTTTGGGTTTTTAGGCGGGCTGCATTGTAGCTCATCCCTGAATGAGTTTTTAGTTTCAATAAAATTTTATTGAATGAAGGGAGTGGGGGAAGGGATTACCAGGATCATGAACAGAGAGGATTTCACCAAAGAAAACTCATTTCCACCACATCAAATCATGAAAAAAAGTGGAGAAAATGTCAAAAAACGAGTATCAATGTTATGCCCTCACAGCAAATGGCGATGCTCACCGCACAGCACGCCCCTCGCGCTCAGGGAAGACAGAGCAACGCTGAGAGAAACACCGTTGGACGGAGCGGTGATGTACGGAGCGGATATGAGCGTAATCAATGGAGAAGGACAGACTACTTAGCTGCTCCAGTGAATAGCCAATATATATATGGAACCGAGAAGCATGCGGGGGCAAGAGGTTACCCTTAGTGCTTTTTTAGACATGAAGGACCAAATGCAACACCAAATGTATCAGCCGGAACTAATGCAACTCCTGTTGAAGGAGCTGCTGGGAAAGGGACGCCTAGCAGATCGGTGTCGCTGCAGATAAGAGCACCAAAATGGGAAGAGTCTGGCATTCTGCTGGCCAACATCGAGGAGCTCTTCCCACAAAGAACGCGTAACAAAATTTTCGTGCTGAGAGAGATGACCGACGAGGGTGGGATATATATGATGGCCTTAATGGAGTCGCACCTTAAAAAAGACATCCTTGATGCAGAAATTGCAATGAAAGGATTCCAACGTTATTGTGCGGAGCGAATGGGAGGGTGGAAGAAGGGAGGAGTAATTGTTTACCTTAGGAACTCCCTAGCAAGAAGCACAGTGGAATTGAGATCGGAATCCGGAAACTCTGATGGATTTATTGAATACGTAATACTCCAAACTTCACTTCTGCGTAGCCATAGGCTTTAGGACGCCTGCTTGTCCATCGTAAAATTTCAACTAAGCCCTGAAGGAAATAGAAACCAGGGTGGCTGGACTGGGTGATCTACATCCCATCCCGATAATGAGCGGCTTGGAGGTTGGTGAAAAAAGTCAAGAAGCCCAACTAGCTAATTTTGCTGCGGAACACTTGCTCAGTGAGCAAGTACGGTTTCCGACAAGGAAACACAATATCTTCGAGCTCTTATATACTAATAATGAAAGAATAGTGATGGACGTTCGGGTTGAAGAAACCTCACTGTCCCACCACCGCCTGGTGATGGTGGATAGTACAATTGGGACGGATAGCAAGCCCAGGGCTATACCCTAAAAGGGACTGGCAGGATTCAACTTCCACCATCGAAGAATGGATTGGGAGGCAATTTGGAATGAACTTGAAGGAACTGATTTGAGAGAAGAATTTCACGTGATGAATGCAAGGAAAATTTACACAAAACTATGTGAGAAACAACATAGGTATGTGTGCGTCATACCCCGAGAAAGACGGGCCTCAAAGTCTGCAGTATTCCGGGAAACCGACGAATTCTCATGAGATAACGCACACGATTGAATAAACAAATAGCCGAATCCGCTAGTGATCTGAGGAGACAGAGACTAGTAGATTTGCTAAAAGAAATTGAGTTCAGGTTGGAAGAACAAGCTACCGAGGAACGAGTAGTAGAGGTCATGAGAGAGAACCCGAAGTATTTTTTCAAATACGCTCAGTCCAAGGCTAAAATTAACACCAGTGAGCCAGCAGCAAATCGACACCAGTAAGCTCGCTGAAGGATAATGATATCCTTGTTAATGGAGATGACCAGGACATGAGTCAGTTACTGGGATTTCAGCTTGAATCAATTTTCAGTAACCCCCGCTACTCACGGGAGGAGAATGAAATCGAAGTTCTCCACGAGCTGCCAGGTGGAAGGGGGTTGAAGAACATAGAGTTTGGACCAGAAGATATGGAAATAAGTATCAAAGAACTGGCGACGTTTTCAGCGCCAGGACCGGATGGAATTCCTGCGGTGCTGTTGAAAAAGTGTGTTGGAGCGCTGAAGGCACCGCTCACAATACTCTGGAAAGCCTCGATGATGGAGGGAATTATTCCTGAGGGCCTCAAAATGAGACTGATAACGCCATTCCACAAAAGAGGCCCGATCGAGTAACTGACCTCAAATTTACAGGCCGGTGACTTTGATCTCACAGGAGATCACGGTTTTTTAGAAGGTAGTGGCCAGGAGGTTTGTCCAGTATGTTAAAGAGGCTGGCGGCATAATAATGGACATCATGGTTTGCGGTCAAATCGTTCCGTTTTTTCACTGTTACTGGAGCACCATCACTGCTTTATGGCCCTACTTGAGGAGGGGGCGGGCGTGGACGTAGTATACCTGGACTTTGCTAAAGCTTTTGACAAAGTTGACCACGGGGGTGCTCTTCAGAAAGCTGAGACTGATGAAGGTAGGAGGAAGCCTGTTAGGGTGGATCAACAACTTCCTTACAGATTGAGTACAAGCTGTCGCAATTGGAAACATGAAATCGAGAGAAGCGAGGTTGAAAAGCGGAGTGCCACAGGGCTCGGTGCTAGGACCGATCCTCGTCCTCATCCACATCGACTCGGAGCTTACCCAAGTATCTACATCGTCATTTACGGACGATACACCTCTAAAATTGACACGTATTACAACGAAAGGAGGGGGAGACTGTGCATAATTCTCCCTTTCAATGACCGAGCCACGGCCAGAGTACAGACTTCATGAGGGATCACTGTCCGTGGTAGGAGGACCAAGGCTTCGCACAGGAAGTGGTCGCCGGTGCAGCCTGTGATGAACCAAAGAAGCCGTAAAAGTCGGGCTAACTAATAGGAAATCATTCAAGCCAAGTGCGTATCGGTAGCGTTAATGTTAAATCCTAGTAGATATATATTTTGAGTTATTCTGTGATTCCTGCAAAATAGTGTCAGACTAACTCAAATAAAATAGTTCCTAATATTATTTTTAAGCAGAAAGGACGTTATATAACCTACTCCGTTAGTCATGTGCTCAGCAGGGATAAAAGTTCCTGCGCACAGATGATCTAGGCACCAGAAGAGTTTGAACTCGACAATTCGGATTTAGTCATGGCATGTTTGCGAAACATTGAAAATAGTTCGATAGGGAAACGTTATAATTGAATGCAGTCAGTGTATAATTTATTTATNCGATACCACTCGTCTATGCAGAGGCCGGTGTTGGCGCACTTGAAATGATCAGTGCGGCAAACGCCTGCAATCACAAGTGATTAGGTAAAGAATTTTAAGATCCTATTAAAAAGTGTAATGTGTGCAGTAATTTTTTGTGGTCACGAAATAATTGTTCGGTTTAATTTTTGTGTATTCACCGATGTTAATACTTTAGTTAATTTTCGCAATAAAATCAATTTACCTCAAAGAAAGGATGACGACTTTGGGGTGTTTTCATTGCCTATTAAAGTTTGGGTTATTAGGCGGGCTGTTTATGAGCTCATCCCTGAATAAATGTTTAGGTTAAATACGACATCCCTTTAATATTTATTATGATATAATTTCTCTCCAATGTTTTATTGAATGATGGGAGTGGGGGAAGGGATTACCAGGAGAATATAGTACTGTTTCGTATAGAATACCGAAAATAATAATGCTGTTTCGAAAGGTTAACAAGACAAGCCGAGAAAGCATAGATCATAGCAATGTAATGCATGTTATTTGCAATGTAATGCCCGACAAATTAGTTGCACGGTGTTTTATGGTTATTTAGCTTACAAATTTATTATCAATAAGGATCCATGTTAAGGTATTGAGGTAAAAATATAGGTTCCACGCCACAAGTTGTGCCAACATACGCCTCACGAGAAATAAAAATAACTTATACCCGCAACTCGCACCTCCCACTGGCAGGTTCAAAACTCCACATTAGCGCTGATTGTGATAAATTTTAACGGCAGTCACCGCTGACGTTAAAATTTATCACAATGACGTTACCTCATTAGGAATCCGTAAAATTAATGACGTTACCTCATTAGGAATCCGTAATATTTGGTTACTTTAGTTTGTGATTCCACCACACAGGTACGTGGTTCATTTAGTCGTAGTTATTTTTAGTGTTATCTGTGCCCTGGTACTCAAGTGCTGTTTTCATTGACGTTTTAATGTATATTCTTAGTTATATTATTTCCCATATCTTGTGTCATCCGCGTTATATTTCCGCGTTTATTAGTTTATATATGTCGTTGGTTCTAATTTTGTATTCTCGTTTTTGTATGTGAGGAAAGGCTCCGAAATAGGGATATCAATAGATCATTATTGGAAATAGAAAAACGACCTACAGAAAGCGCACTGTTCTTTTTATCTTGGTGTTTGTATGTATTGATAGGTTGTTTTAATCATTATTTTTGCTCATTTATTCAGTTTTATTCATCCGTCTTAATGGCGCTAATTTTACCACACGATCATACGTAAATGTCTGGGGCCATTGACGGTTTCATTTTCATATCATTTTTTTGTCGAGTGGGCCCTGACAATGACACACACACTTACTGCCTCATTACATCAGTCGTGAACTCACAATGTTTCTCATCACTCCAGTCCCTGCACTGGTTAAGGCTGTCGCATTCCCAGCGCTTGTGGATGCATCTGCCGTCGCCGCACACGAAGTGGTCTCCGGTGCAGCCTGCGATAAATCAAGGAAGCCGTGAATGTCGGGCTAACTAATTGGGAAACATTCAAGGCGGGTAAGCTGCATGACTTCTCAATCCTTCTATATATGTTTTTCTGCTGTCTTTATTCTGTAATTTTAGCTAAATATCAGACTAATTCAATTTAACGAAAATTCATAATCTCAGAACGCCTCCTTAATATCCACATGAATATTTTATGCAGTGTGATCATATTTCCTAAATTCGAGGCGAGGAAGAATGTGTAGAGGTAAGAATGTGATGTATGTATTGTGATTATTCACTGACATCGCATCAGAGGTGGTGGAAAAATCTCAATATGCAATAAGTTCAGCGGGCCCAAAACTTCCCGTGCAAAGATAGTATAGACACCTGTAGAGGTTGAACTCGACAACTCGACTTCAGTCGGTATGCTTGCGAAACATTGAATTTAATTCGATAGTGAAACGTTATAATCTAATGCAGTTAAGTAATACTCGTAATTCATTTATATTCAAGAAAAAAGTTTAATATTAAGAGCAGAAACAGATCATCATATTAATTCAAAATAAAAAATAGTATATTTACGCGGGAGCTTTAGACTCATCAGGCAACTCACAGTCGCGCTCGTCGCTGTCGTCGCCACAGGTGTTGTATCCGTCACACAGCCACTCCTCGTCTATGCAGCCGCCGTTGGCGCACTTGAACTGATCCGAGCGGCACACGCCTGCAATCACAAGTAATGAGGTCAAGAATTTCAGATCCTAAATAAAAAATTATGATTTGTGTAATCAGTCTTTTGTGGTCACGAAGTAATTATTCAGCTCATTAATATTTATTCAATTATGTTATTACATTGTTAATTTTCTAAAGAAAATTTATCTATCTATAAGACGGGATGAAGCCTTTGGGGCGTCTTTATCGGCCATTAGCGTTTGGGTTATTAGACGAGCTGCATGCGAGCTCATTTCTGAGTGAGAGTTTAGTTTTAATAAAATTTCAATGAATGATGGAAGTTGGGGGAGAGATTACCAGGGTACTGAATGTACTGCGGCAACGTGCGCACATTGACCCTGATTATGGTTAATTTTAACGGTAAAACCCGACTAATTATGTGAACATTATTTAAAATTATTAAATGAAAATTTAGCTCACACTTACTCATCTTACTCATCTTATGCAGCCTAACTCATGTTGTAAGTCAAAAGAGTATTGCGAGTTTTGGGAAAGGATGATCCCTGTGACTCGTGATAGGAATCAGATAGCCCATTTTCCCAATACATGTATTTAATAACTACGCCGACTCATGATGTGATGACACACACACTTACTGACTCATTACATCAGCCGTGTACTCACAATGCTTCTCATCACTCCAGTCCCCGCAGTTGTTGTCCGAGCCGTCGCATTCCCAGCGCTTGCGGATGCATCTGCCGTCGCCGCACACGAAGTGGTCTCCGGTGCAGCCTGCGATTAATCAGAGAAGCCGTAAATGTCGGGCTAACAAATTGGGAAACATTCAAGGCGGGTAAGCTGCCTGATTTTCAAATCCTTGAGTATTCATTTTTTTCTGTTGTCTTTATTTTGTAATTTATTTAACCTGCAAAAATCAGACAAGTCAGACTAGTTCAATTTATTCAAAATTCATAATTTTACCCTTTTTGAGTATGAATGGATCCTAAAAATTTCTCAGTTAACCCTCCCGTCAGAGCGCCTCCGTAATCTCCACATAAATATTTTAGGCAGGGTGACCGGGTTTCCTGAACGCGCATTGGGAAAAAATGTATAAAAGTGAGAATGTGATGTATGTCATGTTTATAACATTGCATCAGAGGGGGTGGAAAAGTTTAAAAATGCATGGGGTTCAGCGGGTCAAAAATTTCCTTTGGAAAGAAAATTTAGGCCCCAAAAGATGATAAGCTTGACAACTCGACATGAGTCATAGCATGCTTGCCAAAAATAGAAAAAAATCGATCGTGAGAATATATAATTGAATGCAGTCATTGAATAATTCACTTTAATTAAAGGAAATAACGGAACATTAAGAGTAGAAGCAGAACCACTAATTAACTTGAAATAAAAGACATCAGAATTGCGCGGAATCGTTTGACTCATCAGGCAACTCACAGTCGCGCTCGTCGCTGTCGTCGTCACAGTCGTTGTCTCCATCGCACCGCAACGCCCCGTCTATGCAGCGGCCGGTGTTGGCGCACTTGAACTGATCAGAGCGGCACACGCCTGCAAACATAAGTAATTCAGAAAATTATGTTCGGACGATAATGGAGAAGGGGTTCAAACTGAAATTAAATCTTTTGACTTCACTGAGGAATCGTTACACTAAATTAACAAGTGTTTCATGTTATATGATCAATCATTCTTCCTGAATACTGCTTCTTCTGTATGTTCAGCTCAATTATGTGCTAGAGCAGTGGTTCCCAAAGTGGGCGATATCGCCCCCCTAGGGGCGGTGGAAAGATTTTGGGGGCGGTAAGGAAGAAGAGGGCGGTAGGGGGGCGATAGGGGGGCGGTAGTTTGAAGTCAGTGTCAGAAATTCCAACGTTTGTTTGACGATTTGTACAAAACACGTGCAGCACATGACTCCCAGCGATGGTTTTGTCACCCAGATCTGTTTTTAAACCTCTCCTGGGCTTACGTCTCGGACAAATTAACGGCCGGACTCGCGGGGTCTCACGGCCAATTTCCAAATTCAATGATCAGCGAATATCTCTAAAACTAATGACCTTAACTCGATGAAACTTAGTACACGTATTCATTAGGACCTAACGATGATTTTAGGTCGTAAAAATTCTTTGAATTTTGCCATCGTTTGTTTTTGCCATAGTCATATGGCAATACGGGCCGAAATTCACAGTGATCAAGTAATTTCTTCCAAACTATTGAACAGATTCGAACGAAATTTTGAATTTGCAGTCCTAACTACCAAACGGTAATGTTTAACTCGTGAAAATTTTTTTCGATTGTGCCTTCGTTCGCCAGTTTTTTGTTTTTCATTTCACCTTCATTCCTGATTTAAACAGCAATACGTGATTAAATTCGCAGTAATCAAGAAATTTTTTTCAAACTGCTAAACAGATTTGAACGAAACTTAGTATTTAAATCCCTAACCTCAGCAACTGTGATGTTCAGCTCGTTACAATTTTTTCGTTTTGCCTTCGTTTGCGAGTTATACGGCTATACCGGCGAGTAGAAAAGCCGGTCGTTCCTCCTATATCTGCATAACTCGCAAACGAAGGCAAAATAAATAAATCGTCACGAGCTAAACATCACTGTTGAGAGGTTAGGTAGTTATATACAAAGTTTCGTTGAAATCTGTTTTGTAGTTTAGAAGAAATTTCTTGATCGCTGCGAATTTAAGTGACAAATTACCCAGCGATACGGGCCGAATATAAGGAAGTGTGAAATCAAGAATGACGGTGAAGTGGAAAAAATTCGCAAACGAAGGTAAAATCGAAAAAAAAATTTATAAGCTAAAAAATCACCGTTTGGTAGTTAGGAATGTATATTCAAAATTTCGTTCAAATCTGTTCAATAGTTTGGAAGAAATTCTTTGACCACTGTGAATTTCGGCCTGTTTCGCAATATACGCGTACCTCATGAATGAAGGTGAAATTAAAAAAAATATGAGCTAAACATCACCGTTAGGTTCTGATGAATACATGTTCCAAGTTTCACAGAACTGCGTTCATTAGTTTGGGAGATATTACTTGATAATTGAATTTGGAGATTGGTCGCGAGACCGGCCACGAGTCCGGCCGTAAATTCGCCCGAGACGTCCTAGGTTTCTAGTGCTGAAACAGTTAAAACAGCTGAAAAAACATATTGGTTCACTAAATGAGGTTCTATTTGTGAAATGCACATTTGTGTTTAACCTTTCTCTTTTAAAATTGCAGCGTACTAAATTTCAAGAAAGGGGCTTATGTCTGTGGGGGGCGCTAGAAATTCACCATGGAGAGAAAGGGGGCGCCAGCCTGAAAAAGTTTGGGAACCACTGTGCTAGAGTCCTGGTTTATATGATCTTGGTTTATATGACCATTTTAAAATTGTTCTTAGAATTACACTTCCAGATGCCAAAACAATGTAGATTTTATAGTTTCAAAGGATATTTCTTCACTCGTAGAAATTTTGGTTACATAAGATTGTACTTGATTAAAATCCAGGGAAAGTTGAAGAATTGAGAAGAAGCCAGTGGTTCATTAGGGGGCTGGTACTGAGCTTATCACAGAGTGAGTAATTAGTTATCACAGGATTTAATTGGATCGGGAGAAGAGATTACTCAAAGAATATAGCGTCCGTTACGAGGGAACACCAAGAAAATTGCACCACTGCTAAGGCGGCACGATCAGCAACTTATGATAAGGTGTCTGATTAGGCAGTTGCACTGCCACTTTTCGTCCATTCGTTGTTTCCACTTTGAAACAAGATTGTTTTACGTCCCTTCTAGTGTTGGTCAGATTTCGACGTTGACATGACGTATAATTTTGGTTGTTCAACATTTTAACCTGAAATCAAGCAGCAATCAACGTTATTTCTACGTCATAAGCCTGCTGGGATGGTATGCAGTCTAACTCAGATTGTAAGTCAAAATAGCAATACGAGATTTTGGAAAGGTTTCTCCCAGTGACTCGTGATAGCAATCTGATAGACTCTTACCATCACAAGAATTTGATAACTATGCCGACACACAATGTGATGACACACTCACTTGCTGACTCATTACATCAGCCGTGCACTCACAATGCTTCTCATCACTCCAGTCCCCGCAGTTGTTGCGCCAGCCCTCGCATTCCCAACGCTTCTGGATGCAGCTGCCGTTGGCGCACACGAAGTGGGCGCCGGTGCAGCCTGTGATGTACCAAAGATGCCGTGAATATCGGGCTAACTAATTGAAAAACATTCGAGCCGGGTAAGCTGCCGTGATTTATTTAAATTATTCAGTCAATATTTTTCTGTTGTCTTCACTCTTTAATTTTAGCATTGTAAGTGGGGTTACATGTTCCTTTCGCTACAAAGCAAATCTGTAACCATGTAATTTCATATTAAGATGTTCCGGGTTCTAGGATCCCAGTTCTGCAGTGTCCTTCACCAAGCGATCTACTTTATACTGGTGGCTTGTTATGAGAAGACCTAATGCTTTGGTGACTGTTAGGTAGAGGTTTTTTATTGGCAAATTGTTCAGATTAAAATAGTGGAGACTCTGATTGCAAATGTGTTCATTTTATCTCAGAGTGCTATGTGTTAAATCCATTCATGTTCCATGATTCAAAATTGGTTACTGCCGTCAGGCGGTAGTATTTCTGTTGCACTTTAGAACTTAATGGTAACCAAACCACTTCAATACTTCAGCATCATTTTAGTTCATTTGTTCTCATGAATTGCTTCTCATTCCTTTGATTCCTAACGAGTGTTTGTTCATTACTATTTTTTGGTGAGTTAATTGCTATTTCATTCCGAATATTACTTAAGAGGGTGCATGACTAAATTAAGATTTTGCAACATAATTATTCTCCTCAATGTTTTAACTTGGTCACCACTAAACTGAACTTGAAGTCTGCGTGTTATTTATTAATGATACTATTTTATGCTTTCAATATGCCATAGCATGTGTATTGATTTGGTATTTCTTCTGTGCAGTTTCTGCTTATCACTCTCATGCTCCTCAAAACACATTTTTTCGCACTTAAATTTACATCTGATTTTAAATATTTCAATTGGCTTATTCAACTCATTTTTACTGTCGATATTACACAACCTCTCAGCTGTAAACAGACAACCCATAATCCAGTATACTTTAAATTTATCACTGTTTTCTTTTTCCATCAAATCAATTATAGAAATCATACGTTTGCCAGAGACATAATGTTGGTCCTTCAGACTCCACCCGCATCTACGCGTCGGCAACAGCGTAATATCCGACTATTTCAATTTAAAACGTTAAATGCGAAGCCCGAAAATGGTCGACTGCCAGCTTGTGTTGCTATTTTTGGCTTGCCATAGCGTCAGTGCCTGTCGAGATATCGAAGTGGGAGGCTGAGTGTATGTTTATCAATGTGCTCTGCATGTTAGCGCAATAAGTTCGCAGCCGAGTGTGAAATTTTTCATGTCACTGCGAAACGACCCGCATATGGGTCGTGCAACAATTTGCTGATAATTTATTTTGCAATATTTTTTTTATTTTACACCTCACTTTCTTGTATTTTCAGACCGTTCATTATGGAAGAATCTAGCTTAATGGTGGATCTAAGAAAACGAAACGTGATGAATCTTTTTCTGACCGTGATGATACTATTCCATCAGATGACACGTTCTCACCAAGAGGGGACCGACGTTCAGAGTGTGATGAATCGAGTGATGAAAGAAATGAAGGATAGTTAAGAATTGAGTGANTCCATTTCAGCTCGAAATGCTGCGAACAGAGCGAACCAATTCTCTTCCATCTGCTTCTCGCTTTTCCTGGCACGGAGAGTCGGTTTCTCGCAGTCGCTACAGAACCAGTGAAACGACTCTGTTTTCTGTAGGAAAGAGTATTCTTCAGAGCTCAGCTTCGCGCAACTGATGCAAATGAAATCCTCGCAGTGTTCACAGATGACCATCTGATCATCTGCTCTCAACGAGGTCTCTTTGCAAAACTTGCATGCATCTTCAACTACGCACTTCGATCTCCTATTCGATTTTTTCGGTGCATCTTGTTTCGAAGAACCGCATTCCTTCTTAACAATCTTGTTTACTTTCTTCCCAGCCATCGTAATGTCTTCTTTCTTAATTGTTTAATGATTTCCGGGTTCCTTCACTGAGATTTAGCTAGGGTCTCTCACAGCAATAAATCACCGGAAACAATAAATCACCGGAAACAAGCCTGATGAACACAACCGCCCTACGGTAGTAAAGTTCCGGAAGTACAGCACAGCCGCCCGACGGTAATAAAGTTCCGGAAGTACAGCACAACCGCCCGACGGTAATAAAGTTCCGGAAGTCCAGCACAACCGCACGACGGTACCGGATGTACAGCACAATCGCCCGACGGTAATAAAGTTCCGGAAGTCCAGCACAACCGCACGACGGTAATAAAGTCCGGATGCAATTCAAAGCAAGAAACAAGTCGGTCAGGCTCCTGGAGCGACTACACGGCACGTCTGATCTCCACCGCGTCTCAATCTGAACTCCTGCGTCTCAATCTGAACTGACATGCCGAGAAAGCATAGATCATAGCAATGTAATGCATGTTATTTGCAATGTAATGCCCGACAAATTAGTTGCACGGTATTTTATGCTTATTTAGCTTACAAATTTATTATCAATAAGGATCCATGTTAAGGTATTGAGGTAAAAATATAGGTTCCACGCCGCAAGTTGTGCCAACATACGCCTCACGAGAAATAAAAATAACTCGGATTACGGATTCCTCATTAGGAATCCGTAATATTTGGTCACTTTAGTTTGTGATTCCACCACAGAGGTACGTGGTTCATTTAGTCGTAGTTATTTTTAGTGTTATCTGAGCCCTGGTACTCAAGTGATGTTTTCATTGACGTTTTAATGTATATTCTTAGTTATTTTATTTCCCATATCTTGTGTCATCCGCGTTATATTTCCGCGTTTATTAGTTTATATATGTCGTTGGTTCTAATTTTGTATTCTCGTTTTTGTATGTGAGGAAAGGCTCCGAAATAGGGATATCAATAGATCATTATTGGAAATAGAAAAACGACCTACAGAAAGCGCACTGTTCTTTTTATCTTGGTGTTTGCATGTATTGATAGGTTGTTCTAATCATTATTTTTGCTCATTTATTTAGTTTTATTCATCCGCCTTAATGGCGCTAATTTTACCACACGATCATACGTAAATGTCTGGGGCCATTGACGGTTTCATTTTCATATCATTTTTTTGTCGAGTGGGCCCTGACAATGACACACACACTTACTGCCTCATTACATCAGCCGTGTACTCACAATGTTTCTCATCACTCCAGTCCCTGCACTGGTTAAGGCTGTCGCATTCCCAACGCTTGTGGATGCATCTGCCGTCGCCGCACACGAAGTGGTCTCCGGTGCAGCCTGCGATAAATCAAGGAAGCCGTGAATGTCTGGCTAACTAATTGGGAAACATTCAAGGCGGGTAAGCTGCATGACTTCTCAATCCTTCTATATATGTTTTTCTGCTGTCTTTATTCTGTAATTTTAGCTAAATATCAGACTAATTCAATTTAACGAAAATTCATAATCTCAGAACGCCTCCTTAACATCCACATAAATATTTTATGCAGTGTGATCATGTTTCCTAAATTCGAGGCGAGGAAGAATGTGTAGATGTAAGAATGTGATGTATGTATTGTGATTATTCACTGACATCGCATCAGAGGTGGTGGAAAAATCTCAATATGCAATAAGTTCAGCGGGCCCAAAACTTCCCGTGCAAAGATAGTATAGACACCTGTAGAGGCTGAACTCGACAACTCGACTTCAGTCAGTATGCTTGCGAAACATTGAATTTATTTCGATACTGAAACGTTATAATCTAATGCAGTTAAGTAATACTCGTAATTCATTTATATTCAAGAAAAAATTTTAATATTAAGAGCAGAAACTGATCATCATATTAATTCAAAATAAAAAATAGTATATTTACGCGGGAGCTTTAGACTCATCAGGCAACTCACAGTCGCGCTCGTCGCTGTCGTCGCCACAGGTGTTGTATCCGTCACACAGCCACTCCTCGTCTATGCAGCCGCCGTTGGCGCACTTGAACTGATCCGAGCGGCACACGCCTGCAATCACAAGTAATGAGGTCAAGAATTTCATATCCTAAATAAAAAATTAGGATTTGTGTAATCAGTCTTTTGTGGTCACGAAGTAATTATTCAGTTCATTAATATTTATTCAATGATGTTATTACATTGTTAATTTTCTAAAGAAAATTTATCTATCTATAAGACGGGATGAAGCCTTTGGGGCGTCTTTATCGGCCATTAGCGTTTGGGTTATTAGACGAGCTGCATGCGAGCTCATTTCTGAGTGAGAGTTTAGTTTTAATAAAATTTCAATGAATGATGGAAGTTGGGGGAGAGATTTCCAGGGGAATGTGCTGCGGCAACGTGCGCACATTGACCCTGATTATGGTTAATTTTAACGGCAAAACCCGACTAATTGTGTGAACATTATTTAAATTTATTAAATGAAAATTTAGCTCACACTTACTCATCTTACTCATCTTATGCAGCCTAACTTATGTTGTAAGTCAAAACAGTATTGCGAGTTTTGGGAAAGGATGATCCCTGTGACTCGTGATAGGAATCAGATAGCCCATTTTCCCATTACATGTATTTAATAACTACGCCGACTCATGATGTGATGACACACACACTTACTGACTCAT